CAAGTTCATAAACTACAAATTCTCTTTTCCACCCAACAAAACACAGTTCAACCAAATGTCTGCTAGTTTATCAAAAGGGTCACTACCTCTTAGGTTTCTAAGGCTCTGCCCTCCAATTGTGTGACATTCACAGAAGCACCTTTAACATTCGTGTTTTTTTACCTTAACAGGCTTTGGGGAGGGTCCAGGTTTCGACTTACTGAAAAATTGAGTGGCAAATAGTTTCAGTACACTTCTGTTGTGTGGCACTATTCCTAGGGAGACTTGAACAAATGTCTACTCGTCCCAGATAGACAGGCCAAAAGTAAAGACAGCACCAAAATCCAGCTTGGTGAACTGTGCTAGATAGGTCTGGGTGTCAATTTGACACACTTGAGTTGAGAGAGCCTCAGCTGGAGAACTGTCTCCATTGGATTGGCTGTGGCCGTGTCTGTGGGGTATTTTCTTGATTGCTGAGTGATATGGGAGGGCCCAGCCCACTGTGGGCTACTAGAATATCCACATATTCTAGTGTGTTCATTCATGAACTGTTGCTCTAAACAGATATGCAAATATTCTTTGGATGTAAGTTTTTGACTCCTTAGAGCCAATACCAAGGAGCGTTGGATCACAGCAAAGAGCATGACTAGTTTTACAAGAAATTACCAAGCTGTCCTCCAAAATGGCAGTTTCATTTTATATTCCTACATCAACACATGAGAGAGTTCCTGTTTTTCCACACCCTAGTCAGCATTTGGGGTCACTGTCCTAGACCTTGAACATTCTGATAACTGTATGATGGTTTCAACTTGTTTTATTGTGTTTACCTGCAAGTCTATGATGTGGAGTAAATCCTTATCTGGCATCTGTATATATCCTCTTTGGTGACATGCTCAAGTGGAGTCGCTGCCTCCTCCTCCTCCTCCTCCTCCTCCCCCTCCTCCTCCTCCTTTTCTAAATTGGATTGCTTGTTATTGGGGATTAAGAATGAGTTATTTATTTATTTTGGTGCTGGGGATCAAACCCAGGGCTAAGCACAAATTTGACCACTGAGCTATATACCTCTAAAGAATTCTCTTTATATTGTCGATGCAAGTACTTTAGTAGGCAAGTGTTTATTCCCAGTCTTTGGATTTTTCATTCTCATGAACACTCTATCCATGACAACACTATGCATTCTCTAAGGTGACCAGAGCTCTGTTATGCTTACTGACATCTGAGCTATCTCTAGAACTCATTGTCTATATTGCCTCCATCTCAAGACAATTTAATGAAAAAAGTTATACACCTCAAGAATCCTTCCAGCATCTACTTCTTATCAAATTCCAAAATTACTTTCCTGTTCCCAGGCATGTTTCTGCAGCACCCCATCCCCACGTCCGAACCCTGTTCCCAGGGTGGTGGTAACAAAAGTACCACAGATCGCTGGACTGACCAGTGGAGGGATTGGAAGAGGTTTATCTAAGGCCTTTTTAGTTCTGAAACTGATTTCTGAGGCTTTTATCAGATAACTTGGACGACATAAAATTCTGGGGTCACATGTTTTCCCGGGAAACTTTAGTTTTTCTTTTCCTCTCAGCTTCTTGTGTAACAAGAGAGCTAGAAGCATCGGACCTCAGCTCATAGTTTGCTCTAATTTTTCGGCTGTTGGACTTTCCCCTTCAACAGCATAAATCTAGATCTCCATGGAGTGTTTTCGTATGCAGCCTCTACTGGCGATAGAACCCTCTGCCTTGCACATGCCAGGCAGGCAGTACCATCGAGCCACATACATAGGCTGTGTTTTTGTCACTAAATATTTCATCTCATTACCAGAGAGATAAAGGAGCACTTGGGGCCAGACTACCAACACTCAAGTCCTAGCCTTCCCGTTTGCCGGCTACCTATGTAACCCTGAGCAAGTTACTCAACCTATTTGTTATTCAATTTCCTTTGATGTAAAGTAGGAAGAATTATGGAAAAGTATCTTTATTCAGTTGCTTTAAGAATTAACTTACTAGATGCAAGGCACTGGGTAGGCTGCCTGGTAGACCTGGTAGATGTTCAGAAACATCTGGTTTTTATCCGGTCTTTCCTTGGTGACTATTACGCACATGTTGGCTTTGCGTCCTCTGTCCTTCGACTTTACGATTGTTTCCTACTCAATTTCATTTTTCTTTTAAATCAGAGAGTACCCTGTAGTGTTCCTGCTCTTAAACCAGGTTCCGTTCCCGGAACCCACACAGTGGCTGACAACTGCCTGTAACTCCAGTTCCAGGGGATCTGACGCCCTCTTCTGGCCTCAGTGAGAATTGCACGCACGTAACATGCAGTAAAACATACACATGAAAAATAATAAAACATTAAGAAAAACAACATCCCCCCAAAACTCCACAGGTGCGTAACCCTGTATTTGTTACAATCCTTTCAGAAAGAGCAGTATGAAAGGGAGGTCTCATAACCGCAGCAATCCGACACAAACGCTTAGTGGGTGTAACTCCCGGGCCAGCCAGGAGGGACTTTAGCATTGGCGGAAACTTGGGTAATGTAGTTCAGCAACGTCGCGCGTTGCGTTCTGGGAACTGTAGTCCTTTGATCTCCTTGGTGCGGCCTCACGGGGGGGGCGTCATTCGACCGGAAGTGACCTCTGAAGGCGCCTGTGGGCGTGGCAAGAGGCGGGTGCTTGGCCGGTCTCACAACGTAGGCTGAGGTCTGGCGACCGCCCCACGCTTCTGGTCGCAAGATCCTGAGGCGCGGATCGCTGGACCTGGAGTGGAGTCCAGGGGTCGCCATGGCAACCGCCGGCGCCCAGCGTGTGACGTCACCCTGCGGGCCTGCGTGACGTGACCGGCGCGGGAGGAAGCCTGGCGCCCGGGAAGGGGGCGCGCCTCCTGAGCGGCGCGGGGCCGCGGGGTCCCGGAGGCTTTGTTCCTTTGTTTCGGCCTCCACCGGCCCTGCTCCCGGTGGCCCCGTCGCGTCAGGCCCTCGGCCGCGGGTCGCGGGGCGTCCGGGAGGAGGCGGTGCTGCGCTGCGGTGGGGTTCCAGTGGCCCCAGCCCCTCACCTCCCGGACACCTCCGGGCCCCCTCCCGGCACTCTCCCGGCCGGCCCCGGGCCGAGATCCCCTCCGAGGAGGCCGGACGACCGAGCTCCGGAGTGCGGCGCCTGCGGTGCTGGGACCCTGTGTCCAGGAGGGCGCGATGAGCTCCTGAGATGGCAGGTAACGAGGACCACCGGGCTGATCTGGGGGGGATCCGGGGAGACAATCGCGGGGAGACCCTGGGAAGAAGGACCGCCCGTCCCGGACTTCGGAGCACGAGAACGGGGAGCAACGGTCGGAACATCGAATCCTCCTGTGATTTCTCTTTTTGCATTTCATTCGGTCTTGTAGTCAGGGGGATGGAAATCCCTTGGTATTTGATCTCTTCAATGCAAAAACTATGCTTTGACATAGTCTGGGTACAGACATATTTTTCCGTTCCTTAGAAGTACCCAGCCTTGTAATTTATGTGTAGCTCTTAAATGGTCTCTTCCTTCCCTTTCCTGCCCTTACCCTTGAGTTCAGCGGTTCCAATGCCTCCTCCCCAGTCCTCTTCCAAGCAGTCTAGACTCATTTACTTTGATGAGATACCTCCAGACGTCTCTCATGTCTTTTCCTAGTTAGCATATTTCTTTAACCTGCAGTGCCTAAAACTAAAATAGCTCTTTAAATGTGCTTTTAAAAGTACCTGAAATATGGCATACTACCATTTGTGATTTGGGTTATGCTTTGGGTGTTTGGCATCAGGTTGAGTATCCTAATAAAAATAAGCAGTAATATATGGTAGATCCTCGATTTCCTTTTTAACATAGGCATTAGTGAATAGTATGTATACCATCCCTGTCGAGTGAAATAGCTGTTGTCATTAATGTCAGCAGTTGATGTTTATGGTTAAGTCTTTCAGCCAAGTGATCCAACCTGTCAGAATAATTATGGACCCTAGTTTAGTGTTTTAATCATTTCTAGCTCAGTGTCACTAGCAAACCGGATGAGTATTCCTTCTGTTGTTGCATTATGTATCAGGGTAAGGACATGTTGTGTCCCTGTGCTCTTCCCGACATGGTTCTTGTCTTTCCTTTCGTTAGGTGTCTGTGCCGTCAGGACTGCTCTAGCCTGTTGCCCCTCAGTCTTTCCTTTCGTTTGTTAATTAAAAGTCTTAGTATTGGTGGTGTTCATGTAGTGCAAGCTGCAGCTCACGTTTCTGCTGTCCTCCCTCTGGTGTCCTCCTTTCCTTACTCCTGTCCCGTGCTCCCAATCCTCCTCCTATCTTCTTGTTTCCCTGAATGCTAAGTTGCCTAGAATTAAATTGGCCTGGTCTTTGCTTTTTTCTGTGTTGGGACTTCTCGAAGTTTTATGATAGACTCACTCTTCCTGAGCTGCAGCCTGTAACTGTGATGACATTTGGACTCACCAAGGTTTGCTCAGTGCTGGTTTGCAAGACTGTTACTGTCACTTCTTCAGAGTGTCTGTTACTTGGAACCAAAAGCATCTTACCTGAGACTTTGTTTCTTGATTCTGTCTTCTGTGGTTTGTGACCAACTCTGCCTGTGCGTTTCCTTCTAACCCTTTCACTTTGTTGGGCTTTTGGGGACAGTGTCTCCTTGTAGCCCCAGCTGGCCTGGAGCTTAACCTGAAGAATGTCAAAGCGACAGTTTTTTTTCCCTCAAGATTTCTGTTAAAGTACAGTTTTTTGTTGTTGTTGTTGCTGATCAAAATTGAGAATAATTGTTCCATTTATTGCTTGCTCTGCTTTGGAAGCATTGTACCATTAAGGTAATCATAAAGTCTCCAATCAGACATTTTTGTTTGTTTGAGACAGGGTCTCTCTGTAGCCCCAACTGGCCTTGAACTCATGGAGATCCACCTGCCTCTGCCTCCTGAGTGCCTGCCGGGGTTAAAGGCACCACGCCTGGCTGCTCAGACATTCTTTAAAAAACAGTGGAACAAACCAAAGCAAGGCTGGTGATCAGCTCTGTGTTGTTTGCTTTGGTTTTGATACTGGGCTAGTTAATACCTCATGCCTCCAATTCAAATGTCCATAGACACCTTCCTCTGCTAGTCTTTCTGTATTTATTAAACTCCAAAGGGGAGGGAATTCCTCTCCTCTGGATCCATGGAAACAGCTAGTTCCTGTTTGCTTTTCCTCACCTTTATCAAGAGAGTAGTGGAAGGTATGTTTGTGATATTCTTGTCTCTACACATCTTACAGCTGCAGAGGTAGAGCCCAGAGACAACAGGGCTTTGCTTAGTTCTCTGTAATCACCTTTGCTTGTGAAAGTCAGGCTTCTGCCCGAGAGCAAAGTTTGTTTTCATTTTGTTTATTGAGGTTTAAGTTGTATATAGTTAAGTACATAAATATTAAATGTGCAGAGTCCAGCTTGTTTCTTTTTTTCCATTTCCTTTTTAGTTAATTTTTCTTTTTTTGGTCTTTTTGAGATAGGGTCTTCCTGTAGCCCCAGCTGGGCTGGCCTCGAACAGAGAGATTCACCTGCCTCTGCCTCCCAAGTGTTGTGCCACCACGCCCGGCCTTTTAGTTACTTTTTAAATGAGGTTTTTAGCTTAGCATACAAAGTAATGGGTTTCATCTTTATCCCTAGGTATCGTTATACTTCCTGTTCGTTTCCCATTTTCATTGCCCTCCTCTGTCGTCCGCCCCAGCTAGTGTCCGTCCTTGTGTCGTGTCCCCCCTCCCCTCCCCGCAGCGAGTGTTCCTTTTTGTTCCCTGTTACACCCGTTCCATTATGCTTTAAGATCTCTTCTCCCATCTCATGTTCCTCTTTCCTGCTTCATGGCCTGCACACATACGTGTAAGTATACACATGCACACACACACAATCTTTAAATTTAGGGTCTGCATATGAAAAAATGTGACATTTGTCTTCCTGAGTCTGGCTTATTTAACGTAATGGTTTTCCTACTGATATCAGGACTTGTTTTTTCTTTACAGTCATATAAAATTATATTGTATATATGAACCAGATTTTCTTTATCCGTTCATCTGTTGATGTGCATCTAGGCTGGGTCCATTTCCTGCTATTATGCATGTAGGTGTAAGCTTGGACGAGCAGTATTTCTGTGGTATGTGACTTAAAGTCTTCCTGGTATGTTACCAAGAGTGTTATAGTTGGGTCATCTGGTAGTTCTGTTTTCAGGGTTTTGAGAACTCTCCATTCTGATTTCCATAGCGGCTGTACCAGTTTACATTCCCACCAGCAGTGATGAGGGTTCTTCTCTCCCTACATCATTTTTCTTTTATTAAAAAAGGTATTTACCCAGCACTTGGGAGGCAGAGGCAGGTGGATCTCTGTGAGTTCAAGGCCAGCCTGGTCTTGAACATAGCAAGTTCCAGGCTAGCTGGGGCTTCAGGGAGACCCTGTCTCAAAAAGACCAAAAAAAGTATTTATTTATTTATATGTATATGAGTGTTTTGCCTGCATGTATGTAAGTGTACCCATGTCATGCAGTGCCCATGGAGGTCAGAAGAAGGTGTTGGATCCCCTGGAACTGGAGTTAAGGTTGTTAGCTGTCATGTGGGTGCTGGCACTGGAATCCAGGTCTTCCGCAAGAGCAGCCAGTGCTCTTAGCCACTGAGCCATGGCTCCAGCCTCCAGCCCTTGTTTTCTGATGATAGCCTGGGCTGAGGTAGAATCTCAAAGCAGTTTTAGTCTGTATTTCCCTGTTGGCTAAGGTTGTTGAGCACTTTTTCAAAGATTTATTGGCTATTTGTATTTCTACTTCCCTAAACTGTCCATTCAGTTCATTTGCCCATTTATTAGGGGGGATTTGGGGGTTGGTTTTTTTGTGCCTTATGTTTTTTTTCCTGGCCTGGAACCTACTGTGGAGACCAGGCTGACCTCAGTCTCAAAGAGATCTGCCTTTCTGTTCCTGCTGAGAGCTGGGATTAAAGGCATGCACCACCACGTTGGACTTGATTTGAGGGGCTTGTTGTATAATTTTTGCAGTCCTTTATATGTGCCCAATAGTAATCCCTTGTCTGATGTGTAGTTGACAAAGATTATTTTTCCCCACTCTATAGACCGTTTCTTTACTCTGGTGATTGTTTCCTTTGCTCTGTTGAAGCTTTTTAATTTCATGTGATTTGTCAATTCTTGGGATTATTTTGGTTTTTTTTTGTTTTTGTTTTTGTTTTTGGTCTTTCTGAGACAGGATCTCCCTGTAGCCCCAGCTGGCTTGGAACTTGCTGTGTAGACCAGCTGGCCCTGAACTCACAAAGCTCTGTCTGCCTCTGACTCCCAAATCCTGGAATTAAAGGTGTGCTCAGGATTATTTTATATATATATATATATATATATATGTCCTAGTATATTATTTTATATATAGCCTAGTATAACAACACCCACATTAATACATAAGAGTGCTTCATTCTAACTTTTTTTTTCCTTCTATATTTTATTTTGAGACAGGGACTCAGTAAGTTGCCCAGGCTGACCCTGAACTCACTGCTGAAGCTAAACTCCTGCCTCAGTTTTCTCAATAGCTAAAATTACAGACCTGCACCATCCAGCCTTCTATGACACAAAGTGTTTCGAAAGCCCCAAATTCTGTATTGTGTCCTTGCTCAGTAAGTAATCCCTTCAGAGATGACTTAGGTCTCTGTAGGCTACTTGGCCTGCTTTTGAACTTCGTATGAACCATGTCACTTCATGTGACTGAGTCTCATGGTATGTTCCTTTAGTGTCTGCATACCTTACAGCGCAACACAGTTGTTAGTTGTGTTAGTAATTCATTGTTATATGTCTTAGAACAACATTCTATTTGTGAATATAATGGGACATATCCATTTTCCTGTTGAAGACTTGGGTTGTTTTAAGTTACTGTGAATAGGGGTTGGAGAGGTGTCTCAGTGGTTAAGTGCACTGGCTGCTCTTGGAGAGGACCTGGGTTTGATTCCCAGTACCCACCCAGTTACCTTCAGTAACTCTACTCCAGGGTATTCAACACCCTCTTCTGACCTCCATGGCCATTCATTGCACGACATGGGTGCACTTATATACGTGTAGGCAAAACACACACATAAAAATAAATAAGTTAAAAAAAAGTAGATACTGTGAATAAACCTGTGAATGTACAAGTCTCTGGGCACAGGCGTGAAGTTGCTGAGTCATCGTGTAGACCTGTGTAGCTCTGAGCTCCTGAGCAGTTTTCCCGAATGCTTGCTCAAGTTACATTTATGCACAAGAGTTCTGATTGCTCTGCAACTGTATTGACCATGTCTTTTTAATTTACATTCTAGCTGGTAAGTAATTAGCATTTATTATGATATTTAACTTGTTTTTATAACAAAGTTTTCAAAAGGCCTGTGGAAGCTTTTGGAAAGTCCTCTAGTTATGTTTTATGTGTGGTAGAGAAAAGGCCTTACTTGATGAGGCCCATAGATTTCTTTGTATGAACCATGTGATTAGTTAAATGTCAGGAGACAAAGCTGAATATCAAAGCAATGCTTTTGTGTCCTGAGCCCACGAGGAGGGCACAGAGGTCCCGGTTATAGCTGTTTTTAGGTAGGGGAATTTTGAAATATAAAGGAAGAGAGACAGGGCTGAGTGTGGTGGTGCAATGCCTTTATTCCCAGCACTGGGGCGGGGGGGGGGGGGATTGGGGGAGGGGAAAGGGGCAGGTGGATGTCTCCAAGTTCAAGGCCAGCTTGGTCTACATAGTGAGTTTGGCAGCCAGGACTACACAGTGAGACAGGTCTCAAAAAACAGGAAGGGACATAGTTTTTGGTATTTCAAATAGAAAAGTTTCTGGATTTCTGGGAAGAGAACATCTGGTCAGATTCACCATGCTTCTCTCCTCCTTAGGTCTGTCCGCACCAGACTCTGCCTGCCTCCAGGAGGGACGTCCCCTACTCCCATTGGCTAATTTTCAGGTAAGTTGAGATCTCCTGAAATGATATGTCATTTTTCAGAGTAGGGTGTCCTTTGCTATGAGGTATTGTTTATCTAGAATCCAGTGTTGACAAGTTATTCTGAACTTTCCCTGCCCTGAATTGCATTTTAATGAGTCTTGAGGATCCGGACTCAGGTCCTCGTTTGCATGGCATCTCCCCAACACCTCCTTTTACCTTTTTACACAGAAAATACATTCCTAATAATTTCTTATGTTTTTGTCTGCTAATTCCAGCTTCTTTGTTAGTTTTGGGTTGGTTTCCATTGATAATTTTTCCTCATGATTCCTTATGATTTGTATTTTCTTGAACACTTTATGTACTTTGAGATACTGTGTAGTCTCTGAATACTTGATGAGCTTTGATTAGTGGCAGTATATTGAGTTTAATCTTATTCTACATATTTTTATATTCCTATAAAATATTTTTATTTTATTATTTATTGTGTGTGTGTGTGTGCGTGTGTGTCTGTGTATGTGTGTGTGTGTGTGTGTGTGTGTGTGGTGTGTCTGTGTGTCTGTGTATGTGTGTGTGTGTGTGTGTGTGTGTGTGTGCGCGCGCACTTGCATGTGAAAGTCACCAGCACCTTTTGGGAGTTGGTTGCCTCTTTCCACTGTGGGTTCAGAGAATCGCCTCAGGTTGGCAGGCTTGCGTGGCAGGCACTGGACCTGCTGAACTATCTCACCAGTATTTACATTCCTGAAAATACTCTTGAACCTCGCTCTGAGATGCCGTTAAGTTACTAGGAACATTGGCTTCCTCTCATTCCTTTTAAAGTTTAAGAGACCAGCACAGTTTTTAGTAACATTTACACATTCCACCCAGTGCGTCATGAGCTACAGAGGTTTTCACTGGGTACAAATGGTTCAGCTGTGTTTTCAGCCCTTCCTAGTGCTGCTGCTGGTCTCTTGAACCTCAGGGATGATTCCTTCTCTGCTGAGTGCACTCTCGTCTAGCCATATCCTGGTTGGCACTTTGCTGAATACTTGGGATTTCTGCAGTTTTTCTCTAGTCTCCTGAGGACTTGGTTACCTTGACTTCATCGACCTCTCGTTCTGCCTCTTCGTTTCAGAATTACTGCTGGGCTCTTTGGAGTTTCTGCCCCGCTGCACCACTGCTTGGAGCTGTTGGAGGTCTCACCTTAGTTGATTTTGAAGGATTTCTGTACATCATTAACTGAGATTCTGTATTGGAAACAGCTGTTTTGTCTGGAGTTTTTTGGTTATTTCATATAGGGAGTAAATCCAGTTCTTGTTAATCCCATCTTGGCCACAGCTTGGTCCTACTGACACTGTATTTTTGTTTTGAGTCAGAGTCTCCCCATGTAGCTCTGGCTGGCCTGGAGCTCGCTCCATAGACCAGGCTGGCCTCAAACTCTCAGAGGTTCACCTGCCTCTGCCTTCTGAGTACTGGGATTAATGGTGTATTCCACCATGCCTGGCTAACGTTGATTTTTCTTTTTTTAAAAACATTTTACTACATTTATTTATGTGTATGCACATGTGTGTGGAGGTCAGAAGACAACTTTTGGGAGTCAGTTCTTTCTTTCCACCCTGTGGATTCCAGGAATTAAACTCAGGTTGGCAGGCTTGGTGGCAAGTGCTTTTGCCTGCTGAGCTATCTTAGCAACCTGATAGTTGATTTTTTAACTGTAAGGTTTATCAGGACTGATCGAATGTAGCATTTCTACTTGCCATTAGCTCTGCAGTCTGCTGGAGTGACTCACATGATGCAGCATCTCTCATGGCTGCAGTGACAGCAGCTACACAGCACGAAGCAGAAGGACTGTGTTCATAGCAGAGCGCAGCGAGGCAGGCGCCTTTCTTCCTTCTGTGAGGCAGACACACTTCCTCTCTAGCTGCAGTCTTCAGAGGTGTGGGGAAGACTTGCTCAGGAGTTGTTTTTGGAGTCCAGAGCTCTTGAAGGAAATTGATCTCATTGTCCTGTATCTGTCATTTGAGGATTGTATTACAGACCTCACGAGAGATACCAGGTGCACATCATAAACTTTCATGTTTACTTTAAAGATTTATTTACATGTGTATGCATGTGGGCCCGAGTATAAGCGTGTGCACTACGTGCATTCAGGTGCCCTTGGAGGTTAGCAGAGATCCCCTGGAACTAGATTTACAGGCAGTTGTGAGACAGTTGTAAGCCACTCAATGTAGGTGCTCTCAAGAGCAGCAGGTGCCCTTTCTGCTGAGCCATTTCTCCAGCTCCACATTTATTTGTATTTATTTGTTTGTTTATTATTATTTATTGAGACTAGGTCTTACTGTGTAGCCCTGACTGGCCTGGAACTCGCTATGTAGACCAGCCTAGCCTCAAACTCAGAGAGCTGCCTGCCTCTGGGTCCTGACTGCTGGGTTCAAAGGCATGTACCACCACACCTGGCCATATTTATTGTTTAAATTATATGTATTTTTTGGGTATGTGTGTGGGTATGTGCACATGAGTGCAAGTGTCCAAGGAGGCCAGAGGCATGGGATCCTCCTGGAGACAGAATTCCAGGAGCTTGTGAGCCACCCGATATAGGTGCTGAGAACCGAACTTGGGTCCTCTGCAGCAAACAGTCTGGCATGGCTGTCCCAGTGCGCCACACACAGAAGACCCAGTATTAAGTAGGGACTGTGTAAACATTCCGAGGTTTACTTTTCAGAGCTTAAGGGTCAGAAGCATGGATTCCGGCATCCTTGGAATGTATCAGGGAGTCCTTCCTCACAAGCTAGACTTACCCTGCCCCTTATTTGTTCTGGAGCTGTCTGTGGGAGCCAGTTGTGCACAACTCTTCTGAACTCTGCATTCGGTTATGTCACATTGGTGACAGTGTTGCTGTCGAGCTCCTGCTTATGTTAGACTGTTGGAACTCCTGCTCCATGCAGCTCTCCTTCACCTCTCCAGATTCACTTCAGGAGCTGTAAGCTGTGGCTTTTGTCCTCTTGGTTTAGGAAGACCACTGCTTTGCCAGGGTTCTGTCTTCTTGCTCTGCAGTCTGTGAACAGTGTTTCCGGCAGAACACTTAGAGGGTTGGGAGCTCTTGGTAGTGTTTCCCGTCCCCAAACACCTGTCTCACTTCTCTGGCGCTCGCTCTTCAGAATATAGAAACACTTGTTTCAGATAAGTTGTTCAATGTTACTTCTACAGTGGGAGACAGTCCAGTTGCTGTGATGGTTAGAACTTAAGTCCCCATGGTTTTATATAGCTGTCATTTTAGTTTATTTTAGAAATAGAAACAGTTTATCAAGTTTTACTTTATTATTTTTAACTATGTGTATGTGTGCTTATGTGTGTGTGCACTTGAGTGCAGTGCTTGAGTTACAAGCTGCTGTGAGCTGCTTGATGTGGGTGCTGGGAATCAAACTCAGGTTCTCTGGAAGAGCAGTGTGTGCTCTTAACAATTGAACCATTTTTCCAGCCCAGCTATCATTTTAAAACAAAGTTTATGCTCACTCAATGTCAAACATATAGGAGATAAGGAGCAGGGGGTGTCTCTTACTCCCACTACCCAGGCCCACCAACTACATTTGGTTGAGTGTTCTTTCAGGTCCCTTTCTGTGTGTCTGCATGTGAGCTTCTCTCTATAAAAACAGGGTCATACACTGCATACTCTATTTAGTCTGTGTTGATAATACAGAGATTTCTTAATTCAAAAGTGATGACACCCTGTGAGATCGAGGTCAGCCTGGTCTGCATAGTGTGTTCTGAGCCAGCTAGGACTACAAGGAGACCCTGTCTCATAAAACAAACAAAATGATGACTAATGAAGTGTTCTAGCACCGACAGATCTCATATTCTCTAACCACTCGACTATCAGTGCTCGTGACTGTTTTCCTTCTACATAAGTGGTATAACGGTGCTTGTACATAAGTCTCTACCCTGAGGTGTTGCTAAGGATGCATTCTGTAAGCTGTTAAGAGTTGAATGGGATACGCATATTAAGTTTTGATAGATCCTGTCAGTGTTCCCCATACAGATGGAATTTGGGTCCTGGTCTCACCACAGTACACGTGAGCACTCCTCAGTGTCAGCCAGCCTGTTACCTCAGTGTTCTGTAGTAGTTACAGTGGAGCCCTTTCATCTTTTCAGTAACAGTCTCACTATGTCCCCTACCTGGCCTGGAACTTGTAGACCAGGCTGGCCTTGATCTCACAGAGATCACCTGCCTCTACCTGCTGAGCACTGGTATTAAAGGCTTGCACCACCATCCCTGGTTATCATTTTTAAATAGTTAATCATGCCTTGCTTCTGCGGGTATTGCTGACTTTACTCATTTCCTGAGACTAAACAGAAAAATACTTGACATTTCAGGAATCTGTGACCTTCAAGGATGTGGTCGTGAATTTCACCCAGGAAGAATGGAAACACCTGGATCCTACACAGAGAGATTTGTTCAGAGATGTGACACTGGAAAATTATACACACCTGGTCTCCATAGGTAAGTTAAGATCGAGGTGTGGGGGAGGGAGGGTACACACCTGGTCTTTGTGGGTAAGTGTGACCTCCAGTTCAGGTTGAGGTATGGAGAGGAACATTCTGTCTTGTGCTTGGATGTCACTGACCTTTAAGTTTAGGAACCAGCAGTTTCTAAATTTGAGTTTCTACTCTTTTTTTTTTTTTTCTTTTCTTTTTTCTTTTTATTTTTTCTTTTATTTTTTTGGTGTGACGCTGGAAAATTATACACACCTGGTCTCTATAGGTAAGTTAAGATCGGGGTGTGGGGGAGGGAGGGTACACACCTGGTCTTTGTGGGTAAGTATGACCTCCAGTTCAGGTTGGGGTATGGAGAGAAACATTCTGTCTTGTGCTTGGATGTCACTGACCTTTAAGTGTAGGAACCAGCAATTTCTAAATTTGAGTTTCTACCCTTTTCTTTTTTCTTTTCTTTTATTTTTTTGGTCTTTTTTGAGACAGGGTCTCCTTGTAGCCCCAACTGGCCTGGAACTCAGTATGTAGACCAGGCTGGCCTCGAACTCACAGAGATCTACTTGCTTCAGCTTCCCGAGTGCTGAGATTAAAGGTGTGCACCACCACATCCGGCTGAGTTTCTACTCTTAATAAGTAGAGCAATAAACTAACAATTTCCCTATTCCTAGACCAGCTTCTAAGTCATTGCCTATTTGTGGGCGATGACATGCTGTCCTCTCCGTCAGATCTGTCTCAAGTATTTTCAGACACAGAGTGGTGAGACTAAGTTCTGGTATGATCCTATTTCCTTATTGCAGACAGATTTTTTTTCTGCCTCTGAGCAGGACTCCAGGTTTCCAAACCGGATGTGATTTCCCAGCTCGAGCAAGGGACAGAGCCATGGATTGAGGAGCCATGCATTCCTGTCAGTGCCTTGGCAGGTAAGTAGTGTGTGGCAGCAGATGACCTCACCCCAGCTGCCAGCCTGTAGCCAGAGTGAGTGTGCACACTGCTCTTCAGTGTCTTCTGGAGAGATGAGCACCATCTGTTCTGTCCTGTCACAGACCATCGCAGTGTGTGTTCTGTGCACGCTCCATTTAGACCAAACCTCGCTGTGTGTGTTCTGTGCACGACTCATTTAGACCACTGCAGTGTGTGTTCTGCGCACGCTCCATTTAGACCATCGCAGTGTGTGTTCTGCGCACGCTCCATTTAGACCAAACATCGCAGTGTGTGTTCTGTGCACGCTCCATTTAGACCACCGCAGTGTGTGTTCTGCGCACGCTCCATTTAGACCATCGCAGTGTGTGTTCTGCGCACGCTCCATTTAGACCAAACATCGCAGTGTGTGTTCTGTGCACACTCCATTTAGACCACCGCAGTGTGTGTTCTGTGCACGCTCCATTTAGACCACCGCAGTGTGTGTTCTGTGCACACTCCATTTAGACCACTGCAGTGTGTGTTCTGTGCACGCTCCATTTAGACCACTGCAGTGTGTGTTCTGTGCACGCTCCATTTAGGCCACCGCAGTGTGTGTTCTGTGCACACTCCATTTAGACCACCGCAGTGTGTGTTCTGTGCACGCTCCATTTAGACCATCACACTGTGCCTTCTGCATATGCTCCATTTAGACAACTGCAGTGTGTGTTCTGCGTACGCTCCATTTAGAGCAGGCTCACTCTTCCTGGTGGTTGTGAAGCAGACCTCTGAACCTGGACTCTAGATTCTGCCTCTCCCGCTTCCCTTTGACTTTGGTCTCATGATTGTCCAGCCTTCCTGTTTTGGATCTGTGAGTTCCATCTGTTACCATCAAACAAATGCATGGCTGTATCTCTCTGGCTATAATTCAGTCTCTTTTCTTTGTTCAAACTTAACACAAGTGTGTTCTGCCTCTGTGTTTTATTTATTTATTTTTCTGTTTCTTTGAGACACGGTCTCCCTGTAGCCCCAGCTGGCCTCACAATGTAGACCAGGCTGCCTTGAACTCACAGAGATCCTCCTGGCTCTGTCTCCCAAGTGCCAGGATTAAAGGCGTTGGTGAGTTCTCTTCATTTGGGCCTGTGTTCCCTAGTGCTAGCTAGCAGGGAAGCTAACTGCAGTAACAGCTGAGATTAGACAGCAAGACCTTTGTGTACTGTGGTAGGAAATGGTTGTGTACTTGTGTCTGGAGTAAGGTTCAGAGACAGTCACATTAGGACACTGATAGTAGAGCTAATGGTGTCAATAATTAAAAATGAAATGAGCAGGCAGTGAGAAAAAAAGGAAAGATGAAGTAGGAATGAGGACGTGTGGTTAGAGGTCGGAGAAAAGTGTCATGGGGTGGGAGCAGGAGCAGAGGACACAGGACAGGTAAGAAAGCCTGTTTGGAGAAGATAGATGCTAAACACAGAACCATTAAAAGTACAAAACTATGAATAAAACCATATAAAAATTAGACATAAAATGAAATAGAACATATTATAATCTCAGTGTTTCTTTTTTTCCCCTACTGATTTTTGTCCAATTTCTGGTCACCTCTCTGCAGCCTGGACAGTCTCTCTCCAGCTTGCTCTTGTAGCACCCGTGACCAGGGAAGGAGAATACCTCCCTGGCACCCACCACTTAACACCCACCCAGTGTGAGCAATGTGTGGCACAACTTGACTCAAGACTTCTTTTTCCTTTTTCTTACAAGAATAGGTTTTATTGTTTGGTTTGGTTTGGGTTGGGTTTTTTTTGGTCTTTTTGAGACAAGGTCTTCCTGTAGTGTCAGCTGGCCTGGAACTCACAGAGATCCACCTGCCTCTGCCTCTCGAGTGCTGGAACTACAGGCTGCGCCACCACGCAAGAATAGGTTCTATTGTTTTTTTATTCTGACTCTTTCATCCAGATACAAAAGTAGTTTCTTAACATTTGATTTTTTTTTGTTGCTGTTTTTGCAACATTTTTGTTTTATGTGTATGAGTTTTGCCTGCAGATATGTAAGTGCACCACATCTGTACAATGCCTGTGGAGGCCAAATAGGGTGTTGGATCCCTTGGAACTGGAGTTGTTAGCCATCATGTGGATGCTTGGAACCAAGTCCAGGTCCTCTGAAAGAGCAGCCAGTGCTCTTAGCCACTGAGCCATCTCTCTAGCCCTTTTTTATTTTATGAGACGGGGTTTTACTGTATAGTCTGGCAGGCTTCAAACTCACAGAGATCCACCTGCCTCTGCTGGAATTAAAGTCATGTGCCACCACATTATATATGTTTGTTTTTGTTTTGTTTTGTTTTGTTTTGTTTGATATTCCTGTAGCCCCAACTGGCCTGGAACTCATGATGTAGACCAGATCTCACATAGATACGCCTGCCTCTACCTCCAAGAGTGCTGGGGTTAAAAGCATGTACAACTGTGCCTGGCCACATTCAATGTTTTTAATAGTGTTCTTTTGTTAAGAATGTTCTGTGATGGCACATGCCTTTAAGCCCAGCACTTGGAGGCAGAGGCAGGTGGATCTCTGTGAGATCAAAACCAACCTGGTCTACCTAGTGAGTTCCAGGTCAGCTGGGGCTTCAGGGAGACCCTGTCTCAAAAAGACCAAAAAAAAAAGAATGTTCAAAGGAGGGACTGGAGAAATGGCTCAGCGGTTAAGAGCACTGGCTGCTCTTGGAGAGGACTCGGATTCAGTTCCCAGCACCCACACGTTGGCTAACAACCATCCGTAACTCCAGTTCCAGGGGATCCAATGCCCTTTTCTGACTTCTCGGGCATTACACGACAGGAGTGTGCTTACATACAGGCAATGCACTTATACACATAAAATAAAAATAATAAATAAAATATTTAACAAATGTTCTAAGGAAAAAGAAGTGAAATTTAAAATAATGCATGTAGTATGTATTTTCATGTGCGTCTTGTTCTGGAAAATGAAAGCTGATGTGCAAAACTGAGGAAACTGTGGAAGGGAGAATTTTTTGTTAGTTTATGCAAAGGAGACTAAACTTTTTATCAAAAAGAGTAAACTTTTTATCATAATTTACCTTTTCATTGCTCTACTTTGTTTCTTAAATACGCACACACGAAAATGGGTACACAAACGCATGCATGCAAGTGCAGCAAGCATATGCACTTTAAAAAAATTGATCAACTGCTCACAATAAATAGGTTGTGTTTGTTGTATTCCAACTACTAGCTGTACAAAGCTATATAAATATGAGTTTCAAAAATCCAGACTT